AGGGGGGGGGGGGGGGGGGGGGGGGGGGGGGTTGACCTCATCGAGATCTCCTGGCTGTGGTGTGATGGCGCCATCGATGTCCTCAAGCAGCACCAGCGCACGGGGAGGCACAGTCCTTTGATGACATACACAGACACACCCATGTGTGTCAAGCGGTGGACGGACGGATGGGTGTGCTGTATTCCGTACGCGAGGAGGTGCTGTAGCCGGTCATCGGTGAGGAAGGGGTCGCTCACATTCAACACACAGATGTTGTAGTGCAGCGCACCGGCCAAAGCCATCACAAAGCTGCTCTTCCCACAACCCTGCACACCACACACACATCCATCCATCCATCCATCCCCTCTCTCTCTCTTTCAATTTGTCTGTGTGTCGACTCACCGGCGGCCCCCACAAGAGGTACCCCCTTCTATAAGGGATCCCCCTCTCAATGTACCACTGAGAGCTGTCCAGGAACTCATGGCAGTCCCTCAGGATGGTCTCCGCAACGTTCTCGGCGAGGACGACCGATGAGAAGGGTCGGATGCGCTTGGGGTCGCCGAAGGGCCGCCAGTCCTGCCCGACGCTGTTGTATATGATGGTCTTGCCCTCCTCCTTCGTCAGGGCCATGTCACGAGCTTCACTCAGCAGCTCACTGAAGATCCCACGCCATGGGGCGAAGGTGGTCAGGGTGAGGGTCTCCCAGGGCGTGCCCGTGTTCAGGTCGATCTATACCACATCCACATCCACACCCACACACACACACACAGGCATGACGCACCATTCGCCCGCCATCTTGCTGTGTGTGTGTGTGTGTGTGTGTGTGTGTGTCAGGTACCACTGACTTCTCCCGTTCCCTCTCGACTTTGATGAGTGCCCCGTTGTAGGTCATGTAGTGCAGCCCAGGGGAGGGCACGAACGCAAAACTCGTCTGCACGTGGCCGCTCTTGCTCTTGGTATACGTCGTCTCCACGCCCAAGTGACGCGCTTGACGGTGCCTGCAGTGCAGTGCAAAGACACCAGACAGACAGACAGATCTCTGCATTCACTCCGTCTCTCGACCTCTCTTTACCTGTGTATAAGCCACTGCATGACCCATTGGTAGCTGTGGTCCTTGCTGGGGATCTCCAGCGTCGTCAACACATACCGCCGCCCAACAACCAGCCCGCTCTGCAGCCCAGTCCTCACCAGCGACAGCAGCGCGCCGACGCCCACCAGCCCGAAGCCAGCCGAGAAGTAGGGGTTGCAGGCCAGCCAGTCGGGCAGGAACGACAGCAGGGCTGGCTTGGACGTGCCGATGGTGGGCGTGACGCCAGATGAGGCCAGTGATGATGGATCTGCTGACACGGAGAGGGCAGAGGAGGGCGGCAGCATACCTGGCATCGGCATCCTTGCGGCAGATCTGCTCTGTCGGTGGACGCTGAGGCGATCGCTGCCTCCCTGGAGCTCGCAATTGAAATCGCTGCGAAAAAGCGATGGTGTGGTTCGGTGAGGGGTTTCTGCCTTACGCCCGGCTGTGCATTGGCCTCACCCTCCTTTACCTGACGTCAAAAGTGCTCGGGGGTGTGGACTGGTTCGACGAGAAGCGGCTCACCAGGAAGGAGAAGGCCGAGAGGTACCAACGGAGGAAAGCCATATCGGCCCTCGACTGACTGAACCAATCAAATCAATGCAGGTCAGTCAGCCGGGCCATGCAAGATGCACCATGCATTTCGCTCATTCGCTGTGTCTGTGTGTGCGCGCTGGTTGATATGCGGATGCTGCAGCAGTGAGCTCACCAGACGCCCTCGCCATGGCAGAGATGCCTGAGGGGTATGATCTGGTCTTTTCGCCAACGCCGACCGATGCCGAGAAGCGGCTCGTCCACCGCATTATGCACCGCCGCCTCCCCAATGCCTCCAGTGTGGTTACCCGCCTTGTCCGCAGGGGAGCCCGCCCGGCCAGCCTGCGTATGCGGATCGAGCGCAGGGACGCCCCTCTCCACTACAATCTGGACTTGTCACTTGTCGGGCTGGCCATCGACGACGTCACGGGCAGCTACGTGTCCGCCTACATGGACGGCGACGATCTGAAGCTGCCGTGCTGGTCGTCGCGAGAGGAGCAGAGGGAGGTGCTTGAGACGCTCATCCGTCATGGCTGCCAGCCGGGGCGCGAGGACCTGAAGACGGCCATCAGCATGGCGAATGCGGTGGCGGTGGAGGTGCTCCTGGCGCATGGCGTGGCTGTGGGTTCGTGGGCGCTGGTGCCGCCCCGGGTCAACGAGACGCCGGCGGACGAGTATTGCAGGAAGCTGCTGCAGATCTACCAGAGCTTGGTTGAGCGTGATGCGTCCATCATTGCCGTGCCGCAGCCGGTGCATCAGGTGCACGTGGCGAGACTGCGGCTGTACCCCGAGACCTTCACAGAGGGGTGAGGCAAGGCACGGCAGCAGAGGGAGATCGACAGACAGACAGACAGACAGGTGCATCGCATTTGTGTGTGTGTGTGCGTGTCTGTGTGTCTGTGTAGGTACCTAGATCTAGTCCTTGACAAGGGTGCTTCGGTAGCGCAGCTGCCGGGCAACGAGGGCGCCACCCTCCTCTCCCTCGCAGCCATGCTGGGGTGTCGATTCGTCGTCGCCTACCTCTCCAAGCACTTGCCCATAGCGCAGATCGACGCCGTTGCCGACAACGGCACCGCCCTCGCCATCGCCGGCATGCAGATACGCAAATATGCTGGGGCTGACCGGCAGGCGGACTACTGCCATGTCGCTCGGTCCCTGCTGCGAGCTGGTGCGTCCATCGAGCAGCTGCTCACCCCTTTGAACGAGGACGAACGAGAGCAGCGGCGGCTGGTGGTCGACGAGTATGAGAAGGCGCTCAACGAGCTGCCCGACCAGCTGACGTCGGCACTCAACGACGCTCTTCGGCCGCACCGTTGTCTCGCGGAGTTCGTCGCATTCGTGCTCACCACTCAGGCACCCCACAGCCACCCTGCCATCCCCGACCAAGAGGCATCCCTGCTGGCCTGGCGGATCGCGGCCTTCTGCATCGATTTGGAGGCCGCCCACGCTGCAGCCACTCGTGTGCTGAGGTCAGACTTCCCACTGGGCCGGCGCATCAACACGGCCATGGCGCATTTCGTGACATGTGCTGCGACCAAGACGGCGAGCAACAGGGAGGTGGTGGGCGGGGTCATGGAGGTGAGGGGGGAGATGGTGCGGCTGCCGCCACTGCAGTGCTTTGGCGTCAACGAGGGCGACACGACAAGAGCGCTGGGTGTCCGGGAGGTGATCCACAAGGCGAGATTGGACGAGGCTGCACGATATCGGCTGTCTGGTGTGGCCAAGGGCTTCAACACCGACCTGGGCGATGACGAGTGCCAGTTCCAGTGGCGGCAGCTGGGGCATTTGGATAAGACAGGCCAGTTCGTGTCGATGGGGATCGACTAGACGCGCGTCATGCATGAGGGGAATGGGTGGCTGAGCAGTATTTTTCTGTGTTTGGCTGCTGTGATGAGACTGACGGGACGGCAGGCACATTGAATCGTATCCTTCATCCATCCATAAGAGTCCGCGCACAAGCACACAGATTCCGTATGGCACAAGTGCGATAGCGACCGCATCCATCAATCATCAAACGGAATAATAAAAGTCCATATGCTATGCCTCTCTCTCGGCCCTTTTGTCTACCGACCCCTCTCTAAATGCAGATGCCAATTGTGCTGGTGCACATGCAGATTCACAGCACCATACACCCCACCACCCCCCGACCCCTCAGTAGCGGCCGTCTCGCTGCCATGGTACATCACAACACTCCCGCAAGACACAAACTGCAGCGGCATCTCACCATCGCCGTACTCGGACGATGCTGGCACCGTGCTGTCGGCTGCCAGAGACACACTGTTGGGCACCACTGATGGCTCCGGGACAGAGGCGATGCCATCGGCATGGCTGTCCTCACTGCTGACAGGGCGGGAGGGCTGCTGCTGCTGCTGCTGATGCTGCTCGACGAAGCCCAGAGAAGGCGTCTGCGAAGCCGGCGTCTCTCCGTTGGGCTTCAGACTCGGCTCTTCCTCCCTCTCGTCTTTGTTGTCTGCCTTGGTGGCTGTCCCTGGCCCATCGGCGGCATTCACAGGCATTGTCTCAGACACACTGATGCCGTTCTCCTTGCCGCGGCTGGCCATCGATGGCGCAGGTACGCTGCCCTCACTGCTGGCGGGGCGCGACTGAAGGGCGCTGACGAATCCGTTCTGCACGACGGTAGCTGGAGTCGCGGCGGTGTGTTGGGGCGGGCTGGGGATGGAGAGAAGGGGTGTCTGCGACGCCGGTGTCTCCCCGTGGGATGACGCCGGTGCCGGTGCTGGTGTGCCCTTGACGGTGTCGGGTTGCTGCTGGCCCGTCTCGTCTTCTGCACCTGGTCGCTCTGCCGATGACCCACTGGCAACGGCCGCCTCAGACAAACCACCACGGGCATCTCGCTGCGTCCCCATCTGACGGCCATCCCCCGCTGTGTGCACGCTGGTGGCGCTTGAGCTTGAAGGATGGGCAAGAGGGGAGGCCGTCGCAGCTTGCATGGGCGGCGAGCTCTGCCGCAGGATGTCGCGGACCGCCAGGATGTCGTACCGCCCGTCATCTCGCACCTCCGGGAATCCATGCGGCTGTCGCCCCGCTGCTGCTGCCGATGCTGCTGGCTGCGAGCTCATCTTGCCGCCCCTGGATGCTTTGTATGTCTGGTAGCGCATGGCGACGATCAGGTCCAGCCACCCCAGGTCGGGGAAGGCGATAATGACCTCACGAGATGGGGAATCGGCACGCCGTGAGGTCGTCTCCCCAGTGGAAGCCAGCCGAAACCTGATGGGCTCGCCACGCTGCGGCCTGGGCGGCATGCCGCCCCACCGCAGCATCGTCGTGTACTGCGTGTCCATGTCGATGTCGCCGCCGCGCTTGTTCCACTCGTCCAGCGTCAGCCACTTGCCGCCCTGAGCGTCCCAACCGACCCACCTGAGGGATGACGGCCAGGCGCCCGTGGATGCGTCTCGGATGGGTGCTATGGCCAGGCCCTGTGTGGGTGTCTCCTTGGCACCCGTCATGACGGCCCATGCCGTGCTGCCGAACCGCTTGGCGACGAGGAGGTGAGGGAAGCAGGCGCCGTAGTTCATAGTGAGAGGGAAGATGGTGGGCAGGTCGCGCAGCTTGTCGGATGCAGAGGAGAGCTCGAAGGCGGTGCCGATGGCCAGTTGGCCGCCCTTCATCGAGAGCACCGTGCACTTGGGCGTGCTGTTTGTGGGCGGTTCGTGGTGGGATGGGCTGAGGGACGACTGCGGGCGGCCGACGAACAGCAGTTTGTAAGACAAGGGGTCCGTCTGGATGCCCAACTGCTGAGAGAGGGCCGTCCTGATGTCCATCATGTTGCACGCGTCAGTAGGTATGGCCAGATCCTTCATCTGCGGCCCCTCCCTCTCGGTCAGCAGCAGCACGCGCAGCGTCAGCGACACCTCAATCGACGTGGGATAGAACACCTTGGGCCTGCCCGTGCCCGTGCCCATCCCGTCGTCGGGCAGGTGATACCACTTCCTGCCCCAGAGCCCGTCGACACTCAGGCGGCCGTTCATGATGCTCCGGCTGCCAGTGGCAGGGCAGTAGGCCACAATCACGCGCCGGCCCCTTGGCGTCAGCCGCGAGAGGAGCTCGTCGTCGGCAGCCGTGGTGTGGCCGTCGACGCGCATGAGGCACCAGACCTGCCTCTGCACCAACACCAGCTCATAGACGGGCTGCTGCTGCTGCTGCTGGTCGCCCGTGCTGCTGCTGCTGCTGCTGCGATACATGATCAGAGAGGGGTAGGGGTCGGGGGGGCTGGTCTGTGACGATACTGATGCGGTGGCTGTGGCTGCGCCTGTGAGGCGGATGTCCTCGACCCGCGTGAAGGTCAAGTCGGGGGGTATGGGAGAGGGCAGCCCAGTAACCCTGGCCTCCCTGCCGGCACTCAGATGCAGCGCCTCGTACGTCTCGCTCGTCGTCCCCCCCATGGCCTCCCTGTCTGCCGCCTTCTGCACAGTGCGATGGAGCAGCTCGCACAAGCGGGAGTACGGGAGAGAGGTGGCAGTGGCCGGCAGCACCTCTGACTTGATAGTCGTCATGCTGGCGTGGGAGAAAGTGGGGGAGCCGGCCCGGGGGGGGACGGGATGCTGGCAGCAGAGAGGAAAGAAAGGGGAGAGAGATGGGCGAATGAATTGTGGGGCGGTGTGTCTTGGCTTGAGCAAAATGGAATGTCTGTCACCCACCTGTGTGATGGTGAATGAGGAGCGGCTCTTCTGTTCGTTGAGGTCGGTGCGGTCGCAGTAGGACAGGATGACCTGCAGGGCGTGGCACCACACACACACACACACACAGAGAGAGAGAGAGATAGAGAAATGGGTAAAGTACAACAAGTGGCGAGGTGTGTCACTCCCTGACTCACCACTTGTCCGTCCAGGTAGGTGTGGTTGAGGCACAGTGCATCGCGGCGGTCGGCCTCCTTCGCGAACTCCAGATAGAAAGTCGACTTGGGCAGACAACTCTCACTGACACAACGCACACACACACACACAGACACACCCACCCACGGCAATGCACCACCTGAGATGATGATTGGCCAATGTATTAGTGGCACGCTCACTTGTTTTGGTCGATGCAGTCGTCCCTGGGTTTGCTGTGCCACACGTGCTTGGCCGGCCCGCGGAACATCTCTATCACAGACTGACACACACACACACACATGGCCCCCTGCACCCCAGGCCTGGGCTGATCTGATCGACCCACCCACCTCAACAGGCGTTTCACAGTGCAGCTTGGTCTTAATGTAGAACTTCTTCCTCTGATGCTTGGACGCCGCCGCCCTCAGCACCGCAATGCGATTGAGGATCTCATCGACGGACGAGCACGCAGCGGCCTCTTTGATAGCAGACATCACCTTGGCCTGACCGGCCCGGTCGAGCTGTGAGGCGTGGTTGAACGACCTGTCCAGTGGATCTGACACACACACACACATACACACGTACGACAAAGGAGTGGACTGCTTCCCGTCATCGACTTACCTTCGATGACCCATGCTTGCTGCCCATCCCCCTTGAGCCGCTCCTCGCCCAGCCAGTCGGCACGCTTGGTGGTGCTGCCAGTGCCGCCCTGCCGCACGGACACGACCCACTTGAGGAGGTCGAACCTACTGCCGTAGAAGCGAAAGAACCCCATGACCAGCTCATCCAGACTCTTGACGGCCTGCGACAGACACACACACAGACACTGTCAGTGTGGCGGCATTGGGTGGGTGGGTGTGGCCGCGTGGTATCTATCAGTGCTGTGCTGACGTTATCAGTGCTCGCTGGTGCTGGTGCTGGTGTGGGTGGCGATGTGAGGAAGCACACGTCGATCCTGCTCTTGTTGTCTCGTGTGGTGCGTCTGCACCGGTAGATGGAGGGGCTGTCGGCCGGCACATCCTCCGGCACACGCTGCAGATTGGGCAACACACCTTTAACCTGCACATGAACGAACGAACAAGGAAACACAGACAGACATACAGACAGATATGTGTGTGTGTGATGTGATGTGATGTGATGTGATGTGTGTGTGTGTGTGTGTGTGTGTGTGCGCCTGTAGGTAGAAGATGGTCATGAGGATGAGGCCGTAGCTCGTCATGCTCTCGCCCTCGGCAGACACCAATCCCTCACTCTTGGCCCACTTCTGCAGTCAGTGGAATGTACACCACACCACACCACACACAAGGGGACGTGTTGTGTTGTGTTGTGCTGTGTCGCGTGACGTGACGTCGTCTGAATGCCGGTGTGACGCCGGTGTGATTGACCTTGATGAGCCGCCCCATGTGTGCCACGCGGCCATGTGGGTCGGCATCGCAGTAGGCCTTGAGGAGGTGCGTGTTGTCCACGGCCAGGGCGTTGTTGACGCTCAGATCCACCTCCACACCTACACACCCACACACACCACACACACATCCACACCACCACACACGCAGGCAGGCCAACTCACCTCGGTGCTCCATCTTGAGTATAGGTACGCGGGCCGCAAACACCCGTGCGATGCGTCCGAACGAGTGCCGCTCCAGCACCGGCACCAAATCGCCCAAGAGCCGCTTCTGAAGCATCTGACGGTCCGGGATCTCGCCAGGATAGATCCCCTGGAGGTCTTTGGGGTTGATCAGAATCGTCACATCGATGTCCGAGCCCTGTGTTGCAAACCCATTCATCGACCCGCCGAACGCCGCACACGTGAAGGACGAGGCCGCCTTGCCATGCAGCTCCCGCAGGCAGCCCGAGAGCTGGCTGCATGTGTCATTGACAAGCTGCGGGAAACTGTCTGCCGGTGCGATTGAGTCGATGAAGCTCTGCAGGGCGGCCGACTTGACCGTGGCTGAGCCATGCAGGGAGGGGGAGGTGCCGTTGGCGGTGCCAGTGTTGTTGTTGCTCTCGGCAGATGCGTCGTAACTCTCTGACATGGCCGCGGAAGATGAAGATCCCACTTCAGACGAGGATGCTGAAGCCGGATGCAGCCCGAGAGGGAGTTTCGCCCCAATTCCCTGGCCGAATGCGAGCTTGGCATTGCGAGCTTACGAAGATTCATGCGCAAACCGCTGTCAGAGGCAAAATCGTCCAAAATCGAGGAGGTTCTTTCGCTACTAAGCTTGCAATACCGCAAGATGAGGCTGAAAGTGGAGATGGATGATGCCTCTGTGGCACTTGATGCCACTGAGGAGCCGCTGAGGCGGTCGCTCGTCCTCGTATCTGACAATATCACCAACATCGGGTGAGGCAGCACACACATGGAGGAGGAAGGCAGATGGACTGGAGGCACCAGGGCCTGCATGACGAGCATGGATGGACTGTTTGTTAACCTTGGTCTGGTCTGTGTGTCCTCTCCGCTCAGTGAGCTGATCTCTCACCTGCAGGGCCAGTTCGGCTTCCTCGCTGCTCCTCGTGTGCCATACCTGTCACTGGATGGCTTTACTCTGCCGCCGTCACAGCCGCTGGGCATCCTCCGGGACACTGACGTCGTCCGGTGGGCACACGATACATCCGCAACACACACACACACCGGCCATTCTTGACCTCTCTGGCCTTGGTGGTTGTCAGGGTGCATCTGGTGGGTCAGCAGCGGGACCCCGCTGCTGCAGCCGCCTCTGCCCGCACCGATGAGCAGGAGACGATGGTCGCCACCGCTCCTCCACTCGCCCAGCCCATCCATCCCGTCAAGTTCGAGCCACAGACACATGACAACGGCCAGGCAGAGAGGAGCATCGACAGGGCTCCTCTTCCTCCGCCAGATGCAGTCGCCAGCAAGCGGCCGTGCGACGAGCATGTGGATGCAAAAGGAGCGGCAACGGGCGAGTCGCGGCACAAGCGAGTACGCAGGCGGCGCAGGAGGAAGAAGGAAGACCATGGTGAGGCAGGGGTGGCTGCCGAGGTGCTGCTTGATGAGACAATGCCGGCAGAGACATCGACAGAAATCAAGGCTGGCGACCTTATCAGCGTCGCCAGGCTCACCGAGCCCATTGATCCTGGCGTCCGAGATGTGTCAAGCATCGCTCCCGACCCCAGTCAGCGGCAGCCCTACATCGGCCAGGAGCGAGTCGGTGACATTTTGCGAAAGCTTGTCGGGCGCTATGAAGCAAACGACGGCGACCATGTGGTCCGTGTGGAGCCAATGGTTATCACTCGTTTTTCGCGTGGGGGGAAGACGAGATTAATGAAGCAGATCGGGGCAGGCCTCCACACGCAAGGCATCCCTGCCCTATTCATCACGTATGCATGTAGAAGCAGACAGACAGAGGCAGAGGCTGATTCGTATACACTCACTCAGCAATGATGAGCTATGTGTTTCTTCTTGTGCGTGGCCATCTATCCATCGTTCTGCAGGTTCAACGAGCAGACAACGCCCACTGACTTTGAGCTATCTGCCTGCAGCCCGCTGCAGTCCATCTCGTTGCGGATAGCCTGGGCCACTGCAACGCCGGAGGCTCTCGAGAAGGTGGCACAGGCTCTGAAAAAGCCTGTAGCCGAACTCACCTTCGACGACTGGGTGCGGACTGTCTCGGTCAGCCATCGGACCATCAAAGAGTGGCTCGGCAGCGGCCCTCTGGTCCTCTTTGTTGACGAACTCAACCAGCGCATCCCCTCAAACACTGTGTTCGAGGAAGAGCCATTGGCACTGGAGCTGGCTGACTTTGTTCTTCAGCACTTTCTCAACAAGCGGCAGCGTTACTTTGTGTTTTCGAGCCAGGTCGCCGCACTAGGGAACAGTCTCCTGAGGTACTACTCGAGGTTCGGCTTTCGCGGCGTGTACAAATTGCAAATCCCGAGGGTCGAGAGAATCTCTGCTGTGACCGAGAGCGGCATCTGCTCAGGCACACACGCTGGTATCGTCTCCTGGACTGGACGGGTGCCTGGTTTGCTGACGCTTATGTACTCGAATGAGCCGCCGCAGCCAAACAACGTCCGACAGCCCTTTAAAGCCATGGAAGCCCCTCGTCTTGACGCGGACCTTGCTCGAGCCGTCATTCAAACAGCGATTGAGGGCGACGGAAAGCTTCTGGGCAGACTGGGGACGTGGTCGCGCTTCCTAGACGTCTTCGGCTATTCGTGTGTGTGGCCGCCATGCTATCTGGGGCTGGCGTGTGACGAGTTGGGGAAGGCCCCGGAGGTCAAGAAGGCCCTCGGCAAAGGCTTCGCGACTGGCCTGAGGTTGATCCCCACGCTTCTGGACCAGCTACTCGATGAGAGGGAGTCCGGCAAGCGATGGGAGGGCGTTGCCGTCGCAGAGGTGCTCCTCCGACTCCTCTACAGTCACTTGGAAGGAACCGGAGGTTCACTTGAGCATGGCGGCAGCTCAGCTGGTCCCTGATGCAGTCGACGATGGATGCAAGTTTGGGGGCGTCATCACCGCAAGCCAGCCGGAGACGCTCAAGGCGCTCATCACCGAGTTCCACCAGAAGATGGACCCGACACTCGCAGGAGAGCGCTACGTCTCTTATTTCGTCAAGCCCATAGACTCAACTCTCCACGGCTTCAGCTTCTTCGTCTTTGTGACCGAGTACGGCAGCTTGACGACAATCTACGGCGGCCAGTGCAAGGAGAGACCGACGGGCTCCGACAAAGACTTCATCATCATCAAGCACAGTGTGTCTGAAGCGGTCGCATCGCTGGCGCCAGACGAGGGCGACCCTGAGGCTATCAATGCCTCAGCGAGGGTCTACTTTCGTGGCATCTGGCTGTGCGGTGACGATGATCAGGGGCAGGAGGTAAACATTAACAAACGGTCGGAGCGAGATATCGGTGTGGTGCCATCACGTGCCGCCATTGAGGAGGTTATCGGTGTGTCTCTTGCGCAGATGTGTCCTTTCGAATGGCTGGTAGAGGGAAAAGACCAGGCCGGCGGGGAAGGGACAGGGGCTTAGCTTCTTCAGTCGGTTGGGTGTCAAGTATGTCTGTCTGGTGCGTGTGACTTTACTCACGACGAGAATGTGGTCCAGTCCCTTGTGGGGTTTGGGGTGCATATGTGTATAGTTAGTCATATGCATGTGGGTGGCTGGGTGAATACCTACCTACATGTGATGTGTGTCTCTCGCAACTATGGCAGGCAGCCATACCTCAGATCAGATCATGCACGTACAAACCGACTGACATTAACATGACGTACGACAGACAGGTCCTGCACTTAGCTTTGTCCGTCTGACTGGTCTACCTACCGGTCCGCATCCCGCGTGAATATCACTGAACCACCAACGCGTCCATCACCGCACCATCCACCAACGCACACCTTCCCCATTCCCTTTTCCCACCCTCTCTATCCACCAAGCACGGCAAACAGACATACAGACAGGTGCACTGTGTGTTGTCTGTAATTGCAGGCAAGCACAACTGACTGACGGCCAGGCACACTCCCTTCCAGTCTGTTTCAATTGTTTTACGGAGTCCCTCCGTCGAGCTCAGATTTCTCCATGTACAGTGCACTGGATGAAAATGACCTATCAGATCTGCCTGTGTCTACATATCTGCCTTCGTCGAGGCGGTCTGTCGCTCATAAACTTACTCTTACTAGGACAGACACGTACGACAAAGAACGACACAAAAACTGACCACACAGCCCACACCCCAGAGCAGCCTTCACCAACACGAAACACAGGGCTAGGCCAGCCAAGGAAGGTCGCTCATTGGCCATCAGCAATCCTGCGGGTTCCCCACTGTCTCAGGAGGGACGTTCTGCTGTGGCAGTGCCGTCCATTGTGTACTCCTCTGTCTACTGTCTTCATCCATATCGAACATCACTCCAGAGAAGTAGGTGAGGAGCGCACAGAGGAAACAAACGAGAATATTGTAGCCGCTAAACACCGCCTCCCCGGGTATACACTTGGTTTCATGTAGGTCATCTTTGGAGACGATGCCCTGGACGATGCTGCGAGAATAACGAGCGGAACGAAAGGACAGGAACCAACCCAGCACCAGAAGAAAGGCGCCACCCAGCACAGCTGCCATGGACAGGTCAATCAGCTTAAGGGGTTTCCGAGACTTAACAGCGGCCTCCAGACATCCAAAGCCACAGCAAGCCACAACCATCAAGAAGAGAGCCAGACTCGCCGTGACATAGAACTTGATGCCCACTGCCTTGGCCTTCCGCCACTTAGTCTCCATCTCGTCGTTTCCTGCTGCTTTGTCGATCAGGAAGTCATAGGATGCTCGGCAGTGACAGTGGACGACGTCAGGTTGCTCTCTCAGGCGCTCACGAGTCTTGACGCTCTCCTTGCAGTGCTCGAACTGCAGTTCGCCAGTGAGAGGCGTCTTGACGCTCTCACTGAGAGGCGTCTTGACGCTCTCACTGGCACAGCGGACGTCCCCCGACGCAAAGCAGTCAACTTCTTCGTTGTCACGGCAGACACGGTGGAGCTCGACCTCCAGGTAGTAGATCTGCAGACTCGTCCATTGCTCAATCTTCATGAGGGACAGCTCTCTTGAGGCGAAGGCCGTACACACTGACCAGGAGCGGCCAGCCAGAGTCGAGAGGAGCGGAGTAAGGGCCAGAATGAGAGGAAGGAGAGTGAGCCGGCGCGTCTTCAGTGAGAGTTTCTCGTCATCATCGCTCATCTCGACTATGTGCTGAAGACGTTGCTGAAGTGGCTGTCGGCACAAGGATCTGCGGATGCGAGCTTGGCATTGCGAGCTTGAAAGTGCAGATCTGGAGGATAACGAAGCGGAGGAGCAGCAAAGGGGCAGTGTGCGACAGGAGCACTGCCAGCCGGAAATATGTCTTCGTGAGGATCCCTCTTGGCGCATTGCTCGAGCTGCTGAGAGGGGTGTGATCACATCAGCTCAGCAGCCAGCGCGACCGACCAGCCAGCATGGAGGAGGGCAAGGACGACAGGCCTGTCGTGCCACAACAGGAGGACGAGCCGCAGGAGGGAGCCACCGACACCACCACGACGGCGGCGGCAGAGGGACAGCAACAGCCACCACCGGCCGTCGAGCAGCAGCAAGAGGGAGAGGGCGAGACCGCCGAGCAGCAGGCGCCTGCCGACACGCAGGAGGTCCCGCAGCCAGGCAATGAGAAGGAGAAAGAGGAGCCGGCTGCCGAGGCGGGTGGCGAGACTGAGACCGAGGGCAAGACCGACGACACGCCCGCTGAGGGCGATGCCAATGGTGCCGGTGGTGGTGGTGATGAAGGTGAGGAGACCGCCACGATGGACCAGGAGGGCGTCAAGGACAAGGGCGGCGTTGACAAGGGCGACAGCGGCACCGAGACGACTGAGGCGAGTGACGAGAAGCACCCGCTGCAGAACATGTGGCACCTGTGGATGATCAACCCGGTCAAGGAGAAGACCCAGACCAAGTGGGTGGACTCGCAGCTCAAGGTCCACACCGTCACCACCGTCGAGGACTTCTGGTGCCTCTTCAACAACATACACGGGCCCACCAAGGTCGGCAACGGCAACGACTACTCGCTCTTCAAGGACGGCATCAAGCCCGCATGGGAGGTAAGGTACCGCACCACTGTCAAACACACCACACCACACACCTCACGCACCGGCACGACAAACGACACACCGTCCTGTCCCTCACTCTCTCTCTCTCTCTGTGGTTTTGTGTGGTGTGTGTAGGATCCGGCTTTGACGAACGGCGGTCGTTGGGTTGCCAAGATCAGCACGCCCAAGGTGCTAGACGACCTGTGGCTCAACATCCTCCTGGCCATGATCGGCGAGACATTCCACGACGCCGGCGGCGACTGCGTCGCTGGCGCCGTCGTATCCGTCAGGGGCAACAAGGTCCTCACGCATAACATACGCCCACACAGCACCGACACACACGCATGGTTCTGTGTCTTGTGTGAGTGTGCAGGGCCAGAAGATAGCGTTGTGGCTGTGCGACTCGTCCGAGGCGGTTGCGATGAAGGTCGGGCGTAAGCTGCACGACATCCTGCTGCCGCTCGTCGAGACCCGCAAGGAGGCCGAGCTGTCCTTCGAGGCATTCAACGACAACGACAGGAACGCCAAACAATACGTCGTCAAGTGACCAATGACCGATGGCGACCGCTGCACACATACATACCATACGGCCCGCCTGGCAGAGATGGGACGATGGATGGATAGTAGGTGGGTGCCGTGGGTGGATGGATGGATTTGGGTGGCACTCGGCCTCGTGGGGCGTCTTTTACGCGGGGGTGCATGCGTGTGTGTGCTACGAAAATGGTGTCGGCTGGACGGGAGGGAGGCAGGGAGGAATGGTGTGTGTGGGGTGTGGTCAGAAAGGCGGGCGGGCGGGTGGAGGGGTTCCGATCGATCATCGCATGGATGGATGGACGGACGGATTCATTCGTTCTCCCTGACTGACTGACTGCCTGCCTGTACATACGACAGTGCACGAGATTGATGAGGTCTTTCCCTAATCGCATGTGCCGTGATCGTTTTCCCCTCTCTGCGTCGTGTTCGCGTGTCGCCTTGGCCGTAGCATGCCACTCGGCCATCCACAGAGGCCCTACTGACCAAAGTCGGGGTCTCTGAGGATGGCCAGGTGGGGGTGGCACCGACAAGGCGACACGTACACGACACGCCCAAGAAGACAGGAGGGAGCAGTCATTCAATCATCATCGATGTCATTATTATTGTCTTGTGGCTGACACTGACGTTGTGTGGTTGGCTGCTGCATGTGCGGGGAGGAGGGTGTCGACGACGAGGTGCACCTTGCTGCTTAGACGATCTCTTCGCGAGCAGCACGATGCACCTCGTTGTTGTCAGCCGACTCCCAGCAACGAGCAGCTATGCCACAGATTCCACCCTATCAATGATTTGTTTGCCGAGTGTTTTGACCTCTCAGTTAGCGAGTGCAGGCAGGATGGATGGATGGATGGGTGTGATGCGAGGCGGACGAACGGACCGCCTGACTGGCTGGCCTCTCGTCGACCGACATACGCACACACACACATCGACTGACTCTACCGACCGACTTGCCCGACAGCCCAGCCGACGGACCGTATGCATGCCGTGCGTGTGGACTTGCGTGAAAGGTGTTGCCATGAGCCAGTCACTTGACGACAGACAGAAGCCTCACAACATTCACACACACAGACACACACACACACACAGAAAGAGAGGCAACCACCCAATACCACCTGCAGTGGTCCATCCATCCATCCATCCATCCATTGAATGCGATAAATGGAGACAGACCTTCACACACCGGCACCCCTCATACGCAACGCAGTGAGAGAGGGCTCTTTGCACACACATCCAGTCCAGCTAGCTGTCCCACTTGATGCCCAACACGTAGGAAGACACATCAGTGAGGGTCTGCCTCGCCGGCCGGCCCAGCTGTGCAGACAACACCCACCCACCCCCG